GTAAGGGGATAATCAGTCCATGCCCAGAATCACATCAAAATCAACCATATCTAGCAGAATAAGATCAACTCTAGTATCACAACCCTGGATAGTCACTTAGCAAGATCGCAATATCTTATCCACTACTAAGGACTCACCCACCGGGGTCGAAACATGAACTGGCTCTGCCAAAGACTCAGACCTCATACCCAATCGGGGAGCAAAATAAATAGATACATACGAGAATGTGGACCCGTGATCAAATAATATTGTAGCAGGCTGATGGCATAATAAAAGCGTACCAGTGATGACATCGTCAGATGCCTCAGTTGTCGCCCTCGCCGGGGATGCATAGAAGTGGCCCTGAGCACCTCTGCCCGATGCATCTGGTCTACCACCTAACCTGCCACCCCGAGCTCTGCCTCTGGTACCCTGTCGGCTGTCTCGACGACCCTGGTCCTGACCACCACCTCTAGCTAGAGGGGGCACTGCTTAAACTGGTCTAGGTGCAAGGGGAGCTGGTAAAATCGCTCCTCGCCCTCGCCGGGGGCACTCTCTGTACCAATGGTCAAGAGCACCGCATTCAAAACACCCTGAAGCTGAATGCTCTAAAGTAACCCGACCGCGATAAGAAGAGAGGGAATCCGATCCCCTCGAACTCTGGCCCGTAATAGGACCACCCTGGTGATACTGGCCTCCCTCAGAAGCAGGTAATGCCACCTGAACAGGACGACTGGACTGACCCTGCTGGATCCTCTGGCGGGGCCTATCATAGGAGTCTCTCCCTCTAGTCTGGGACCCTCTGTAGCTGCCCTGGTAGCGTGCCATCTTATCGCTGCCCCCTTGGGCCTCGCGATGAATATGTTCCATGGATTGGGCATGGTCAACTACATCAAGAAATGAACGGCCGGCAGAAACTAAATGCTCTGTGTCGACCCTCAGACGGTATCGCAACTCACGTACAAAACAACGAACTATCTCCTCCTCCGTGGGTAGGATCATGGTAGCATGTCGAGATAACTCATGGAACCTCGTCTCGTACTCTGAGACAGTCATAGGGCCTTGCTCCAATCTGGAGAACTGATCACGAAGCCTATCCCTAACGCTCCGTGGCATGAACCGGGCTAAGAAAGCCTCTCAGAACTCACTCCAAGATACAGGAGGCGATCCAACTGGCCTGGACTCTCGATACAAGCACCACCACTGCCTGGCTGGCCCAAGAAATTGATGAGCAGTGAAATCGGCTCCTCTCGACTCTAAGAGGCCTAATGACTGTAGCTTCTCCTGACAAGTGAGCTGGAACTCGTAGGCATCCTCCCCCATCGCCCCTGAGAATATCGGCGGTGCCAACCTCTGGAATACCCCGAGCATCTTCTGTTCGCGCATTGGCATCTCCCCATCCTTTAAGTCTGACATGACAGCCACATGAACTGATGGCGGCTGAACCTCTGGTGCCGCTGCGGCAGGCTGACCCTGCTGCGCTGGAGCTGGTGCCTGTCGTATCTCCCCAATAGCTGCTAGTATCTGAGTCAGCAGAGCATGAAGATCAGGAGCTGAAGCTGCAGCTGGTGTAGGTGGTGGCTGGGTTGGCCCCGGCCCCACCGGCTGTGGAGGTACATATGCTGCCTGAGGCTCCTCTTCCTTACCTCGGGCTGGTGCTACGGCCCTGCCTCGACCTCGGGGTCGACGTCTACCCCAAGCTGAGGCTCTGCCTGCAGACCCGGGTGCGCCACCCCTGGCCACACCACCTCGCGAGCGAGCCATCCTGTGAAAGAGTGAAACAAGTGAGATTTCAAGAAACCAATAAGACACACGATGCACGAAAACGAAACATAAGAGGAAATTTTCCTAAAGACATCCTGTAGCCTCCCGAAGATAAGTCACAGACGTCTCCGGACCGATCCGCAGGACTCTACTAGACGTTAGCTCTGTACAAGTGAGACCGATAAACCTGGGGCTCTGATACCAACTTGTCACGACCCGATTCTCAAGTCATGATGGCACCTACTATAACCCACCAGTAGGTAAGCCAACCCGTAGCCCGGAACAACAAGTAATGGGTCTGAGGGTAGAAATTAAACAAGAGTAGGCAAATAACTATATAGACAAGCAGAAGCAAACCAAAACATATATACAAATAAAGATCCCTCCCAGAACTTGGAAGTCACTAGTACAGAGCTACTAACAAAATGAATACAAGTCCCAAAAGTGGACAACAGAGACTGGACTGTCTCGAAAGGTAAAAGACAAGTCTATATATACAGATGGAAACTGAAATAGTACAAAACATCGTGTGATCACTTCTGTCTCCGAATCAGTCTGCTCCAAGCTCGATCAACGCTGGCTACTAGTGCCCGGACCTGCATCACGAAATAGATGCAGAGCGTAGCATGAGTACCAAAACAACCGGTACCCAGTAGCATCATAGGCCGACTGAACTTGAAAAGTAAAGGCAATATGAAAAGAAGGAATAACACAAACCGAAGTCAAGAACTAAAATCTAACTAACAAGGGAATGCACACGAGTGTACAAAGAACTAACTAAAGTAATCTATAAGCTAACTACACCTAACTGGGGCCCCATAAGCCCAGAAGGTACACTCGTGCGCAAGTTAATTAAAAACCCGAACGAACCCCATAAGCCCGACGAGTACACAAAATAACTATAACTAAAGAGAATTGCATAAAAGAACCCAAGAACGAAGAACACGAATCAGAACCTCAACCCTAATTAGTAAACTCTGACAGTACGAAGGCCGGACCTCGAACCGGATGCTCACCAGAAGTACCCAAGTAACCAATCACAAGTAACAAGTATAAGAGGTCGGAACTCTAACCAGATGCTCTATATAGGTATCTGAGCAATAGAAGCCAGACCTTAAACCGGATGCTTTATATAAGTATCTGGGAAATAGAGGCCGGACCTTAAACCGGATGCTCTATATAAATATCTGGGCGATAGAGGCCGGAACTCTAACCGGATGCTCTATAAAGGTGCAAATGTAGCTGTTGAAAGAGTCTTAATCGATCCACAGTCATAAATATCCGTGGAACGCCGTCCATACTTAACCAATCAATGTAAGTCCTTGGAACCAAATCGAAAATCAAATTCAAATCGCGAAGTAGAACTTGTGTCGCCGATGTAACTCGTGAAGCCGTAACATCGGGGAAAATAAGGATAACTATAGTAGGAGAAAGAGCATCGCCTAAATAAGGCCCAAACTATCAGACTCAAGTCTGCTACACCAGTCTACAGGGATCGAAGCCGGCCAAGTGGCGTCGGGCAAAACTAAGGCCTATCGGATTTGAATCATGTATTTCTAAGGCAAGCCCTAGTCAAACCTAAACTAAGGCCCAATCTTCAAATAAACAGTAATTAAGCATGCAAGCACTCCACATAGCGAGGAGGATCAATTAATAACACAAAGCATGCTCACAGATACCCGATAATTCCCGAAATAGGCCGAAAACATGATTTCTTAACACCTATGCAGGATTCAATAACTACCCAACCCAAATCCCAACTAATCAACATGCATTCATATTCTCGAGCTCAATCTAAGAGAGGGAAACCGTAGCCTACCTGTAGGCCAATCACACGCGCTCCAAAATCACTTCTCCGGAACTTTCCCTTTCCGAACGTCCTCAAAACGCTGCCCCGCTATAAAAAATAGAATCACAATGTTATTACAGTCGTTTAGACACCAAAATCACAACAAACGGAGTTGGATCAATTTTGGAGTCAAAAAGGGAAATGTGGGACCCGCACCGAACTATCCGAATTTGACTCCGTCAAGACACCCTAAACAGCACTCCAAACTTGTGGTCCAAAATGAAACACAATTTGGGGATCAAAACGCATCAACACCCAACAAGCAAGAAAACCACACTTATATCAACTTAAAAGAAAACATTGCAGCAGCCTAAACTTGAAATTAACGAGAATCAAAAAGTTCCCAACACTCCTTAAGCACTCTACGACGAAGACACGATAATTTTCAACACATGGAACTTCGAATCACCCAATTCCGAGCTAAAATGAGTGAGATATGATCAAAACAATAATGCCAAAAACCACAGCTCGAAAAAGGGTTCTGCAGTCAGGTTAATTGCAAAATTTACCTCAAACGGAGACCCCAAATCACTATCCGAGCTCACCAACGCGTTGTCCTCAAAAAATCTCACAACTTTTCCTGTTGGATCGCCCAAATCGGTTGAGAGATGAAAGAGTTATGAGGGTTTGAAATTTTGGAAAATATGTTGCTGTTTTTCTGCATTTATTGCAGAAAATCTGCAATTTCCCAAAAACTAAAAACTCCGACGGGGTGCTCCGAACTCGTTCGGAACCCCGTGCACGCAAACGAGATATGCAACCATACCAAATTTGATATTCCAGACTGAACGGCGCAGTCGAAATTTCCATCAGAGGTCATTTCGATAAAAAGTAGGGTCGAAATTTCTATCAGAGGTCATTTCGATAAAAAGTGGGTTGCCAACCACGGATCCTATCAAGCAAAGAAGACTGAACTTCCATAAAGGCCAAGACGCGTCTAGAATCTGAGATATCCAACCGAACCATGCTATTAGCTAAGGACTGAATGTCCAAAGCTAAAGGTCGATCCTCAACAGATAAGAAGGCTAGACTACCCATACTCACTGCCTTCCGTCTCAAGGCGTCCGCTACCACATTCGCCTTGCCCGGATGATAGAGAATAGAGAGGTCATAGTCCTTCAGGAGCTCAATCCAACGACGCTGCCTCGAATTAAGGTCCATCTGGCTCATGATGTACTGAAGACTCCTATGATCGGTATAGATCTCACATCGAACTCCATACAAGTAGTTCCCGGATGGATAGAGTATCTAGACTCATGGGCCTCAGAAAGTATCAACTGTATCAAATCTCCAACTCTCGGAACACAGATGCGGCCGGCGAATTTCAATACTCCAGCAGGATCTAAGGTAGCCTGACCACCATCACCCGCTAACACTCGATCTCTAAGGGCCACCAAGGTATCATCCTCAAACTGGCAACCACGGATCCTATCAAGCAAAGAAGACTGAACTTCCATAAAGGCCAAGACGCGTCTAGAATCTGAGATATCCAACCGAACCATGCTATTAGCTAAGGACTGAATGTCCAAAGCTAAAGGTCGATCCTCAACAGATAAGAAGGCTAGACTACCCATACTCACTGCCTTCCGTCTCAAGGCGTCCGCTACCACATTCGCCTTGCCCGGATGATAGAGAATAGAGAGGTCATAGTCCTTCAGGAGCTCAATCCAACGACGCTGCCTCGAATTAAGGTCCATCTGGCTCATGATGTACTGAAGACTCCTATGATCGGTATAGATCTCACATCGAACTCCATACAAGTAGTTCCCGGATGGATAGAGTATCTAGACTCATGGGCCTCAGAAAGTATCAACTGTATCAAATCTCCAACTCTCGGAACACAGATGCGGCCGGCGAATTTCAATACTCCAGCAGGATCTAAGGTAGCCTGACCACCATCACCCGCTAACACTCGATCTCTAAGGGCCACCAAGGTATCATCCTCAAACTGGCAACCACGGATCCTATCAAGCAAAGAAGACTGAACTTCCATAAAGGCCAAGACGCGTCTAGAATCTGAGATATCCAACCGAACCATGCTATTAGCTAAGGACTGAATGTCCAAAGCTAAAGGTCGATCCTCAACAGATAAGAAGGCTAGACTACCCATACTCACTGCCTTCCGTCTCAAGGCGTCCGCTACCACATTCGCCTTGCCCGGATGATAGAGAATAGAGAGGTCATAGTCCTTCAGGAGCTCAATCCAACGACGCTGCCTCGAATTAAGGTCCATCTGGCTCATGATGTACTGAAGACTCCTATGATCGGTATAGATCTCACATCGAACTCCATACAAGTAGTTCCCGGATGGATAGAGTATCTAGACTCATGGGCCTCAGAAAGTATCAACTGTATCAAATCTCCAACTCTCGGAACACAGATGCGGCCGGCGAATTTCAATACTCCAGCAGGATCTAAGGTAGCCTGACCACCATCACCCGCTAACACTCGATCTCTAAGGGCCACCAAGGTATCATCCTCAAACTGGCAACCACGGATCCTATCAAGCAAAGAAGACTGAACTTCCATAAAGGCCAAGACGCGTCTAGAATCTGAGATATCCAACCGAACCATGCTATTAGCTAAGGACTGAATGTCCAAAGCTAAAGGTCGATCCTCAACAGATAAGAAGGCTAGACTACCCATACTCACTGCCTTCCGTCTCAAGGCGTCCGCTACCACATTCGCCTTGCCCGGATGATAGAGAATAGAGAGGTCATAGTCCTTCAGGAGCTCAATCCAACGACGCTGCCTCGAATTAAGGTCCATCTGGCTCATGATGTACTGAAGACTCCTATGATCGGTATAGATCTCACATCGAACTCCATACAAGTAGTTCCCGGATGGATAGAGTATCTAGACTCATGGGCCTCAGAAAGTATCAACTGTATCAAATCTCCAACTCTCGGAACACAGATGCGGCCGGCGAATTTCAATACTCCAGCAGGATCTAAGGTAGCCTGACCACCATCACCCGCTAACACTCGATCTCTAAGGGCCACCAAGGTATCATCCTCAAACTGGCAACCACGGATCCTATCAAGCAAAGAAGACTGAACTTCCATAAAGGCCAAGACGCGTCTAGAATCTGAGATATCCAACCGAACCATGCTATTAGCTAAGGACTGAATGTCCAAAGCTAAAGGTCGATCCTCAACAGATAAGAAGGCTAGACTACCCATACTCACTGCCTTCCGTCTCAAGGCGTCCGCTACCACATTCGCCTTGCCCGGATGATAGAGAATAGAGAGGTCATAGTCCTTCAGGAGCTCAATCCAACGACGCTGCCTCGAATTAAGGTCCATCTGGCTCATGATGTACTGAAGACTCCTATGATCGGTATAGATCTCACATCGAACTCCATACAAGTAGTTCCCGGATGGATAGAGTATCTAGACTCATGGGCCTCAGAAAGTATCAACTGTATCAAATCTCCAACTCTCGGAACACAGATGCGGCCGGCGAATTTCAATACTCCAGCAGGATCTAAGGTAGCCTGACCACCATCACCCGCTAACACTCTATCTCTAAGGGCCACCAAGGTATCATCCTCAAACGGCCAACCACTGGGTCGCTCCTCAACAGATAAGAAGGCTAGACTACCCATACTCACTGCCTTCCGTCTCAAGGCGTCCGCTACCACATTCGCCTTGCCCGGATGATAGAGAATAGAGAGGTCATAGTCCTTCAGGAGCTCAATCCAACGACGCTGCCTCGAATTAAGGTCCATCTGGCTCATGATGTACTGAAGACTCCTATGATCGGTATAGATCTAACATCGAACTCCATACAAGTAGTGCCTCCAAATCTTAAGCGCGAAAACTACCGCCGCCAACTCCAAGTCATGAGTGGGGTAGTTGCGCTCATGGATCTTAAGCTGCCTCGACGCATAAGCAATAACCCGGCCCTGCTGCATCAATACACAACCCAAACCAACGCCGAATGCGTCACAATAAACTGTAAAGCCCTCGCCCTCAACTGGAAGAGTCAATATAGGAGCGGTGGTCAATAACTCCTTGAGCCTCAAAAAGCTCGCCTCACACTCCTCTGACCAAACAAAGGGAACATCAACACGAGTCAATCGAGTCAATGGGGCTGCAATAGTAGAAAAGCCCTCAACAAAGCGTCTGTAGTAACTCGCTAACCCGACGATGCTACGAACCTCAATAACAAAAGTGGGCTTGTGCCAATCACCAATAGCCTCAATCTTCGCCGGATCAACCCTAATACCCTCCTTGGACACCACGTGCCCCAAGAAGGAAACAGACTCAAGCCAAAACTCGCACTTTGAGAACTCGGCATAAAGCCGCTGATCTCTCAAAGTCTGGAGCACTATCCTCAAATGTTGCTCATGCTCACTCCGGCTCCGCGAGTATACCAGTATGTTGCTCATGCTCACTCCGGCTTCGCGAGTATACCAGTATGTCATCAATGAAGACGATGACAAATAAATCAAGGTATGGCCTGAACACACGTGTCATCAAGTCCATGAAAGCAGCAGGGGCATTAGTCAACCCAAATGACATCACCAAGAACTCATAATGCCCATAACGGATCCTAAATGCGGTCTTAGGGATGTCCGCTGCCCTAATATTCAGCTGATGGTACCCGGACCTCAAATCAATCTTAGAAAACACGGCGGCACCTTGAAGCTGATCAAACAAATCATCAATACGAGGCATGGGGTAACGGTTCTTCACCGTCACCTTGTTCAGCTGCCTGTAATCAATACACATCCTCATAGTCCCGTCCTTATTCTTCACAAACAGAACAGGAGCACCCCAAGGCGACACACTTGGACGGATAAACCCCTTACCTAAGAGATCCTCTAACTGAACACTAAGCTCCCTGAGCTCTGCAGGAGCCATCCGGTAAGGCGGAATAGAAATAGGACGGGTGGCGGGCTCCAAATCTATGGCAAAATTAATGTCACGATCTGGAGTTAGGCCAGTTAGGTCTGCAGGGAACACATCTGCAAACTCTCTAACCACAGGAATTGAGTCAACTGAAGAGTCCTCTCTACTCACATCTCGCACATAAGCCAAATAAGCTAAACACCCAGAAGCAACCAACTGTCTAGCCAGCATAAAGAGATGATCCCTGTCGGTGTGTGACTATAAGCACCCTGCCACAACACTGGGGAAATTCCAGGCGTGGCTAGGACCGCATGGTAAGGGGATAACCAGTCCATGCCGAGAATCACATCAAAATACACCATATCTAGCAGAATAAGATCAACTCTAGTATCACAACCCTGGATAGTCACTAAGCAAGATCGTAATATCTGATCCACTACTAAGGACTCATCCACCGGGGTCGAAACATGAACTGGCTCTGCCAAAGACTCAGACCTCATACCCAATCGGGGAGCAAAATAAATAGATACATACGAGAATGTGGACCCGGGATCAAATAATATTGTAGTAGGTTGATGGCATAATAAAAGCGTACCTGTGATGACATCGTCAGATGCCTCAGCTGTCGCCCTCGCCGGGGATGCATAGAAGTGGCCCCGAGCACCTCTGCCCGGTGCATTTGGTCTACCACCTAACCTGCCTCCCCAAGCTCTGCCTCTGGTACCCTGTCGGCTGTCTCAACGACCCTGGTCCTGACCACCTCCTCTAGCTAGAGGGGGCACTGCTCAAACTGGTCTAGGTGCAAGGGGAGATGCTAAAATCGCTCCTAGCCCTCGCCGGGGGCACTCTCTGGGCCAATGCTCAAGCACACCGCAATCAAAACATCCCGGAGCTGAATGCTCTAAAATAACCCGACCGCGATAAGAAGGGAGGGAATCTGATCCCCTCGAACTCTGGCCCGTACTAGGACCACCCTGGTGAAACTGGCCTCCCTCAAAAGCAGGTAATGCCGCCTGAACAAGACGACTGGACTAACCCTGCTGGAACCTCTGGCGGGGCCTATCATAGGAGTCTCTTCCTCTAGTCTGGGACCCTCTGTAGTTGCCCTGATAGCGTCCCCTCTTAGCGCTGCCCCCTTGGGCCTCGCGATGAATTTCCTCCATGGATCGGGCATGGTCAACTACATCAAGAAATGAACGGCCGGCAGAAACTAAATGCTCTTTGCCGACCCTCAGACGGTATCGCAACCCACGTACAAAATAACGAACTATCTCCTCCTCCGTGGGTAGGATCATGGTAGCATGTCGAGATAACTCATGGAACCTCGTCTCGTACTCTGAGACGGTCATAGGGCGCTGCTCCAATCTGGAGAACTGATCACGAAGCCTATCCCTAACGCTCTGTGGCATGAACTGGGCTAAGAAAGCCTCTCAGAACACATTCCAAGATACAGGAGGCGATCCAACTGGCCTGGACTCTAGATGCGAGCGCCACCACTGCATGGCTGGCCCAAGAATCTGATGAGCAGTAAAATCGGCTCCTCTCGACTCCAAGAGGCCTAATGATTGTATCTGCTTTTGACAAGTAAGTTGGAACTCGTAGGAATCCTCCCCCATCCCCCCTGAGAATATCGGCGGTGCCAACCTCTAGAATACCCCGAGCATCTTTTGTTCGCGCATTGGCATCTCCCGATCCTTTAAGTCTGACATGATAGCCACATGAACTGATTGCGGCTGAACCTCTGGTGCCGCTGCGGCAGGCAGACCCAGCGGCGCTGGAGCGGGTACTGCTGGGACTGGTGCTGGGGATGGTGCCTGTCGCATCTCCCCAATAGCTACTAGTATCTGAGTCAGCAGAGCATGAAGATCAGGAGCTGCAGTTGCAGCTGGTGCAGGTGGTGGCTGGGCTGGCCCCGGCCCCACCGGCTGTGGAGGTACTCCTCCTCCTTATCTCGGGCTGGTGCTACGGCCCTGCCTCGACCTCGGGGTCGGCGTCTACCCCAAGCTGAGGCTCTGCCTGCAGACCCGGGTGCGCCACCCCTGGCCGCGCCACCTCGCGAGCGAGCCATCCTGTGAAAGAGTGAAACAAGTGAGAATTCCAGAAACCAATAAGACACACGATGCACGAAAATGAAACAAAAGAGGAAATTTTCCTAAAGACATCCTGTAGCCTCCCGAAGATAAGTTACGGACGTCTCCACACATGTCCGCACGACTCTACTAGACGTTAGCTCTATACAAGTGAGACCGATAAACTTGGGGCTCTGATACCAACTTGTCACGACCCAATTTCTCAAGTCATGATGGCACCTACTATAACCCACCAGCAGGTAAGCCAACCCGTAACCCGGAACAACAAGTAATGGGTCTGAGAGTAGAAACTAAACAAGAGTAGGCAAATAACAATATACACAGGCGGAAGCAAACCAAAACATAAATACAAATAAAGATCCCTCCCTGAACCTGGAAGTCACTAGTACAGAGCTACTAACAAAATGAGTACAAGTCCCAAAAATGGACAACAGAGACTGGACTGTCTCGAAAGGTAAAAGACAAGTCTATATATACAGATGGAGACTGAAATAGTACAAAACGTCGTGTGCTCACTCCCGTCTCCGGATCAGTCTGCTCCAAGCTCGATCAACACTGGCTACTAGTGCCCGGACCTGCATCACGAAATAGATGCAGAGCGTAGCATGAGTACCAAAACAACAGGTACCCAGTAGGCATCATAGGCCGACTGAACTTGAAAAGTAAAGGCAATATGAAAAGAAGGAATAACACAAACCGAAGTCAAGAACTAAAATCTAACTAACAAGGGAATGCACACGAGTGTACAAAGAACTAACTAAAGTAATCTATAAGCTAACTACACCTAACTGGACCCCCATAAGCCCAGAAGGTACACTCGTGCGCAAGTTAAATAAAAACCCGAACGGACCCCCATAAGCCCGACGAGTACACAGAATAACTATAACTAAAGAGAATTGCATATACGAACCCAAGAACGAAGAACACGGATTAGAACCTCAACCCTAATTAGTAAAATCTGACAGTACGGAGGCCGGACTTCGAACCGGATGCTCACCAGAAGTACCTAAGTAACCAATCACAAGTAACAAGTATAAGAGGTCAGAACTCTAACCGGATGCTCTATATAAGTATCTGGGGGATAGAGGCCGGAACTCTAACCGGATGCTCTATATAGGTATCTGAGCAATAGAGGCCGGATCTTAAACCGGATGCTCTATATAAGTATCTGGGGGATAGAGGCCGGAACTCTAACCGGATGCTCTATATAGGTATCTGAGCAATAGTGGTCGGACCTTAAATCGGATGCTCTATATAAGTATCTGGGCGATAGAGGCCGGAACTCTAACCGGATGCTCTATATAGGTATCTGAGCAATAGTGGTCGGACCTTAAATTAAAGAGAATTGCATAAAAGAACCCATGAACGAAGAACATCGAACCAGAACCTCAACCCTAATTAGTAGAATCTGACAGTACGGAGGCCGGACCTCGAACCGGATGCTCTATAAAGGTGCCAATGTAGTTGTTGAAAGAGTCTTAATCGATCCACAGTCATAAATATCCGTGGAACGCCGTCCATACTTAGCCAATCTATGTAAGTCCTTGGAACCAAATCGAAAATCAAATTCAAATCGCGAAGTAGAACTTGTGTCGCCGATGTAACTCGTGAAGCCGTAACATCGGGGAAAATAAGGATAACTATAGTAGGAGAAAGAGTATCGCCTAAATAAGGGCCAAACTATCAGACTCAAGTCTGCTACACCAGTCTACAGGGATCTAAGCCGGCCCAGCGGCGTCGGGGCAAAACTAAGGCCTATCGGATCTGAATCATGTATTTCTAAGGCAAGCCCTAGTCAAACCTAAACTAAGGCCCAATCTTCAAATAAACAGTAATTAAGCATGCAAGCACTCCACATAGCGAGAATGGTCAATTAATAACACAAAATATGCTCACAGTTACCCGATAATTCTCGAAATACACCGAAAACATGATTTCTAAACACCTATGCATGATTCAATCACTACCAACCCAAATCCCAACTAATCAACATGCATTCACATTCGCGAGCTCGATCAAAGAGAGGGAAAACCGTAGCCTACCTGTAGGCCAATCACACGCGCTCCAAAATCACTTCTCCGGAGATTTCCCTTTCCGAACGTCCTCAAAACGCTGCCCCGCTATCAAAAATAGAATCACAACGTTATTACAGTCGTTTAGACACCAAAATCACAACAAACGGAGACAAATCAATTTTGTAGTCAAAATGGGAAATGTGGGACCCGCACCGAACTATCCGAATTTGACTCCGTCAAGACACCCTAAACAGCACTCCAAACTTGTGGTCCAAAATGAAACACAATTTGGGGATCAAAACGCATCAACACCCAACAAGCAAGAAAACCACACTTATATCAACTTAAAAGAAAACATTGCAGCAGCCTAAACTTGAAATTAACGAGAATCAAAAAGTTCCCAACACTCCTTAAGCACTCTACGACGAAGACACGATAATTTTCAACACATGGAACTTCGAATCACCCAATTCCGAGCTAAAATGAGTGAGATATGATCAAAACAATAATGCCAAAAACCACAGCTCGAAAAAGGGTTCTGCAGTCAGGTTAATTGCAAAATTTACCTCAAACGGAGACCCCAAATCACTATCCGAGCTCACCAACGCGTTGTCCTCAAAAAATCTCACAACTTTTCCTGTTGGATCGCCCAAATCGGTTGAGAGATGAAAGAGTTATGAGGGTTTGAAATTTTGGAAAATATGTTGCTGTTTTTCTGCATTTATTGCAGAAAATCTGCAATTTCCCAAAAACTAAAAACTCCGACGGGGTGCTCCGAACTCGTTCGGAACCCCGTGCACGCAAACGAGATATGCAACCATACCAAATTTGATATTCCAGACTGAACGGCGCAGTCGAAATTTCCATCAGAGGTCATTTCGATAAAAAGTAGGTCCCACTTCCAAAAGTCATTTTAAGTCAAAACCAACAAAAGTGCTCGGAAAGATATTGAAAACCTCCAGACACAAAAGAAGGGTCAATCTAGACCAAAATCGACATTTCGGAGCTAACCACGCTGACGGAATTCTCATCCGAGCGCGTTTACTCAGAATGTTGACCAAAGTCAAACTTCAAAGGCTAAAACGCCTAATCGCACCGACTCACACTGAAAACCTCGAGAGTCATGTCGACCATGCTACTAGCCTAAAATGACCCTCCGGAGCTGATGGAATCATTAGAATTGGATTCTGATGTCATCTTCTTGAACTTTTGATAAAAAATGATCGTTCAAGGTTCATAAGCTCCAAAACACAAAAACTCGCACCAAGACCAAACGAACGACCAGGTGACCGAACTGTCAGTCCCAGCAAGTTATAAATGACTTGGGGTCGCTATAGGAACGCTCTAAACGACACACAGAAGGCAAGACACAGAAATGACCATGAGGGTCATTACAATATCCACTACTAAAAAGGACTTTCGTCCACGAAAGAAAGGATCAAGAAGTACCTGAAGGCTCAAACAAGCTGGGAAACTTCTCTCGCATCTCCTGCTCGGTCTCCCAGGTAGCCTCCTCGACTGGACGATGCCTCCAACGAACCTTAACAACAGGAATGGCTGTCGAGCGCAATCTCCTCACATCTCTGGCTAGAATGGCAACTGGCTCCTCTACAAATGTCAAACGATCATCCAACTCGACTGCATCATACTGGAGCACATGGGACTCATCAGGAACATATCGCCGCAGCATCGAAACATGAAACACTGGGTGGATGGCCGAAAATGCTGGAGGCTGGGCCAACTCATAAGCAACCTCTCCAACTGTCCGAAGTATCTCAAAAGGCCCAATGTACCTGGGGCTAAGCTTGCCCCGCCTCCCAAACCCTATCACGCCCTTCATGGGCGACACACGGAGGAATACCCGGTCACCAACAGAGAATCTCAAAGGTCGATGCCTCTGATCCGCATAACTCTGGTGCCTACTCTGAGCCGTCCTGAGCCTATCCTGAATCACCCTCACCTGATCCAGGGCCTCCTGAAGCAAATCTGAACCACGCGGCCTAGGCTCTGTAGACTAAAACCAACCAACTAGAGAGCGACAACGCCTACCATAGCAAGTCATAAATGACTTGGGGTCGCTATAGGAACGCTCTAAACGACACACAGAAGGCAAGACACAGAAATGACCATGAGGGTCATTACAATATCCACTACTAAAAGAACTTTCGTCCGCGAAAGTAAGAGTCAAGAAGTACCTGAAGGCTCAAACAAGCTGGGAAACTGCTCTCGCATCTCCTGCTCGGTCTCCCAGGTAGCCTCCTCGACTGGACGATGCCTCCAATGAACTTTAACAACAGGAATGGCTCTCGAGCGCAATCTCCTCACATCTCTGGCTAGAATGGCAACTGGCTCCTCTACAAATGTCAAACGATCATCCAACTCGACTGCATCATACTGGAGCACATGGGACTCATCAGGAACATATCGCCGCAGCATCGAAACATGAAACACTGGGTGGATGGCCGAAAATACTGGAGGTAGGGCCAACTCATAAGCAACCTCCCCAACTGTCCGGAGTATCTCAAAAGGCCCAATGTTCCTGGGGCTAAGCTTGCCCCGCCTCCCAAACCCCATCACGCCCTTTATGGGCGACACACGGAGGAATACCCGGTCACCAACAGAGAATCTCAAAGGTCGACGCCTCTGATCAGCATAACTCTGGTGCCTACTCTGAGCCGTCCTGAGCCTATCCTGAATCACCCTCACCTGATCCAGGGCCTCCTGAAGCAAATCTGAACCACGCGGCCTAGGCTCTGTAGACTCAAACCAACCAACTGGAGAGCGACAACGCCTACCATATAAGGCCTCAAATGGGGCCATCTGAATACTACAGTGGTAGCTGTTGTACGCAAACTCCGCAAAAGGCAAGAACTGGTCCCACTAACCTCCAAAATCCATAACACAGGCCCGCAACATATCCTCAATGACCTGAATAGTACGCTCAGACTGACCATCCGTCTGTGGGTGAAATGCTGTGCTAAGGTGGACACGGGTGCCCAACTCCTCCTGAAAAGCCCTCCAAAAGCTGGAAGTGAACTGTGAACCCCGGTCTGAAATAATAGAAACAGGCACGCCATGAAGACGGACTACCTCCCTAAATGTAGATACGAGTCAACCTCTCGGCACCGAAAGTAGTATGAACATGAAGGAAGTGTGCTGACTTGGTCAATCGATCCACGATGACCCAAATGCTGTCAACATCTCTAGAAGTCCTAGGCAACCCCACAACGGGCCGCCAACTCCAAGTCATGAGTGGGGTAGTTGCGCTCATGGATCTTAAGCTGCCTCGACGCATAAGCAATAACCCGGCCCTGCTGCATCAATACACAACCCAAACCAACGCCGAATGCGTCACAATAAACTGTAAAGCCCTCGCCCTCAACTGGAAGAGTCAATATAGGAGCGGTGGTCAATAACTCCTTGAGCCTCAAAAAGCTCGCCTCACACTCCTCTGACCAAACAAAGGGAACATCAACACGAGTCAATCGAGTCAATGGGGCTGCAATAGTAGAAAAGCCCTCAACAAAGCGTCTGTGGTAACTCGCTAACCCGACGAAGCTACGAACCTCAGTAACAGAAGTGGGCCTGTGCCAATCACGAATAGCCTCAATCTTCGCTGGATCAACCCTAATACCCTCCTTGGACACCACGTGCCCCAAGAAGGATACAGACTCAAGCCAAAACTCGCACTTTGAGAACTCGGCATAAAGTCGCTGATCTCTCAAAGTCTGGAGCACTATCCTCAAATGCTGCTCATGCTCACTCCGGCTCCGCGAGTATACCAGTATGTCATCAATGAAGACGATGACAAATAAATCAAGGTATGGCCTGAACACACGTGTCATCAAGTCCATGAAGGCGGCAGGGGCATTAGCCAGCCCAAACGACATCACCAAGAACTCATAATGGCCATAATGGGTCCTAAATGCCGTCTTAGGGATGTCCGCTGCCCTAATACTCAGCTGATGGTACCCGGACCTCAAATCAATCTTAGAAAACACGGCGGCACCCTGAAGCTGATCAAAGAAATCATCAATACGAGGCATGGGGTAACGGTTCTTCACCGTCACCTTGTTCAGCTGCCTGTAATCAATACACATCCTCATAGTCCCGTCCTTCTTCTTCACAAACAGAACAGGAGCACCCCAAGGCGACACACTTGGACGGATAAACCCCTTACCTAAGAGATCCTCTAACTGAACACTAAGCTCCCTGAGCTCTGCAGGAGCCATCCGGTAAGGCGGAATAGAAATAGGCCGAGTACCTGGCTCAAGCTCAATCGAAAAATCAATATCACGCTCTGGGGGTAGGCCAGGTAGGTCTGTAGGGAACACATCTGCAAACTCTCTAACCACAGGAACTGAGTCAACTGAAGAGCCCTCTCTACTCACATCTCGCACATAAGCCAAATAAGCTAAACACCCAGAAGCAACCAATCGTCTAGCCCGCATAAAAGAGATGATCCCTGTCGGTGTGTGACTATAAGCACCCTGCCACAACACTGGGGAAATTCCAGACATGGCTAAGATCGGAATATCTGATCCAATACTAAGGACTCACCCACCGGGGTCGAAACATGAACTGGCTCTGCCAAAGACTCAGACCTCATACCCAATCGGGGGAATAAAATAAATAGATACATACGAGAATGTGGACCCGGGGATCAAATAATATTGTAGCAGGCTGATGGCATAATAAAAGCGTACCTGTGATGACATCGTCAGATGCCTCAGCTGTCGCCCTCGCCGGGGCTGCGTAGAAGTGGCCCCGAGCACCTCTGCCCGATGCATCTGGTCTACCACCTATCCTGCCTCCCCGAGCTCTGCCTTTGGTACCCTGTCGGCTGTCTCGACGACCCTGGTCCTGACCACCACCTCTAGCTAGAGGGGGCACTGCTCAAAGTAGACTAGTTGCAAGGGGAGCTGGTAAAATCCCTCCTTGCCCGCGCCGGGGGCATTCCTTGGACCAATGCTCAAGCACACCGCAATCAAAACACCCCGAAGTTGAATGCTCCGAAATAACCCGACCGCGATAAGAAGGGAGGGAATCTGATCCCCTCGAACCCTGGCCCGTACTAAGACCACTCAAAACACCCCGAAGCTGAACGCTCTAAAGTAACCTGACCGCGATAGGAAGGGAGGGAATCTGATCCCCTCGAACCCTGGCCCGTACTAGGACCACCCTGGTGATGCTGGCCTCCCTCAGAAGCAGGTAATTCCGCCTGAACAGGCCGACTGGACTGACCCTGCTAGAACCTCTGGCGGGGCCTATCATAGGAGTCTCTCCCTCTAGTCTGAGACCCTCTGTATATGCCCTGGTAGCGTGACCTCTTATCGCTGCACCCTTGGGCCTCGCGATGAATATGCTCCATGGATCGGGCATGGTCAACTACATCAACAAATGAACGGCCGGCAGAAACTTAACGCTCTTTGTCGACCCTCAGACGGTATCTCAACCCACGTACAAAACAACGAACTATCTCCTCCTCCGTGGGTAGGATCATGGTAGCATGTCGAGATAACTCATGGAACCTTGTCTCGTACTCTGAGACGGTCATAGGGCCCTGCTCCAATCTGGAGAACTGATCACGAATCCTATCCCTAACGCTCCGTGGCATGAACCGGGCTAAGAAAGCCTCTCAGAACTCACTCCAAAATACAGGAGGCGATCCAACTGGCCTGGACTCTCGATACGAGCGCCACCACTGCCTGGCTGGCCAAATAAACTGATGAGCAGTGAAATCGGGTCCTCTCGACTCCAAGAGGCCTAATGACTGTAGCTGCTCCTGACAAGTGAGCTGGAACTCGTAGGCATACTCCCCCATCGCCCCTGAGAATATCGGCGGTGCCAACCTCTGGAATACCCTGAGCATATTCTGTTCGTTCATTGGCATATCCCCATCCTTTAAGTCTGACATGACAGCCACATGAACTGATTGCGGCTGAACCTCTGGTGCCGCTGCGGCAAGCTGACCCAGCGGCGCTAGAGCTGGTGCTGCTGGGACTGTTGCTGGGGCTGGTGCCTGTCGCATCTCCCCAATAGCTACTAGGATTTAAGTCAGCAGAGCGTGAAGATCAGGAGCTGCAGCTG